ACTTGATGCAAAAGTTATAAATAATGAGATTCCTCAACTGACATCACTCGACCTGCTATAAATTTGATCGTCTTAAAATCAATTGAACAAAAGAGACACAGTCTCAAAGCAATAGTCACATCACAGGAATGGTTAGTTTCAAGGTATTCAAAATCGAGTAATGAAAAAAAGGTGAAAAAGATAATTCTTTCTTCTGAATTTTGGGAGGCCATGAATGAAATTATAAAAGGAGTCGAACCGCTTTACATGGTCCTCCATGAGGTTAATATAGAGAAGCATTCGTAGATGGTCAGTTTTTCTATATATTTATATTGATATTTTCCTATAATAAATTAAACCAAAAGAGAAGGATCTTATCTCTATTTTTTTGGTTACACCAGTTAATTCAATCCATATTTCATAACTATAAAACTTGGTTAGTTTGCCAACAAAAGATCAACCATATTTCCAACTTATATGACTAAACTTTTAGGTGACATGACTTATACATCATAATTATTCTAAGTTTGAACAAACCATGAACGAACAACTACCTAATGTCAACTTGATCTATATTTTTAGGGGATTTTTAGGTCATTTGCAATAGCCTTAGAGCTAGTTAAACTGATCTAAACTTTGATTTGATTATATATTTTAATCAAAAAATTCATTAGAATGTCATAGATAAAATAATTAGTGTTGGATCAATTTATTGTTATCCCAATCTTAAATGTAAATTGTGCCACAGCGAAAAGCCAAGATTCCTAGTAATCTTGTCCATATAAGAAAGTCCATCTTGTGTAAACTACATATATTAGGTGACCAAAAACATTATAAACCTAAAAGGATAGGTATAGCTCAAAAGATAATCAAGAAATCATGAAAAAAAAAACTATAGTCATCATGTAAACAATAATAGAGAAATGATGAATGCTTAGTGCTTACATAAAGCATATATCAGAAATCACTGATATGTTACATTAGCATGGTATTGAACCTACTGATTTTGTGAAGATATGACCATCCATAAACGACTTTAAAAACAACTGAGACATATTCTGTAAGATACCAAGAATATGACAAAAACTCAAACAAAAGAGAAAGAAACTATACAATATTCTAAAAGAGGAGATTATCTACTAGCCCTACTAAAGGAATAAAACTTTCCTTTCAGCTAGAACACGGGTGAAAGAGAAACAACCAATCAAGCAAATAATTCATAACAAAATGCAAGTATGTGAGAAATTAAAAATCAAGGGTGTCAAGAAGATGATTGGCATACCCAATAACTACTATTCCACCTGGAATCAGAGGATATAAGAAATAAACCACTCTATCAACATTTTTACATCAATTTCAAAGATCACATACAACAAAACAATCAGCAAAATCAAACAAGATCAAGCGATAGGGTTCTAGGAAACTCCTAAAGGTATCAATGAACATGAACTTTAGATGGTGCATTAAATAGAGAATGTCCATAGTTTCACATATTGGCAATGTCAAAAACGATGACATAGAAAGAAGGTACATCCTTCAAGATCTAGGGTTAGAGTGCCACTTGAAGAAACCTTAATGGACTGTATAGATTGAGAGGAAAAAAGGAAGGGAAAATACTATATCCTTCCTTGTTCAAGAGAGTGAAGCCTTCGTTAGCTTATCCATCAACTTCTCTGCTGTGAATTCCCCAAGATACAAAGGTTATGTCAAACATCCTTATCCTTCAATTACTATCTTCATGTCAATTTCATCTTTTTTCCTCTCCCCCTTTTGGACCCGATGGATCTCTTTATGGGTATTTAAAGTTTCAATGCCCTGTTATCATGGGTATACAAAGGGCACCAACCCCAAACAATTATGATTTGACAGTACAATCATGACTTGCCGACCCAAAATAATGATCATGTTGGCTGAGGTGCCATGCACATCAATAAATGAAAAATATTAATGAACAAAAAACTTAGTAACTTATTTAAAGGTAACTATTTAAGAAACATAAAAGTTATAAAATTTGGACTCATTGATGCTCTTTACATGTCATCCTCATATATAATTTGAATCATTTAAGGTTTAGGATTTAACAAAAAAAATAAAATTTAATCATAAGATAAATAAAGTGAAGCTACTCTTGCCCAAATAGAACCCAAAAGATGTTACCTCGCCACTAGATGCTAGAAATGCCATCGGGCAAGTGACTAATCCATAAATATAGTTCAACTAAGTAAGAACAATGCTTTTATTATTGTTCATTTAATAAAAGCCAAAGGAAAATAGAAGATATAACTAATGAAACAAATGCTTCACACATATCAATCTTATTATTACCACCTCCAGCAAAGAACCAGTTTTCCATCAGTGATACACCTGCATAGCTGAAGCGTTGGTTTGGAGGCACATCCTGCCATTTTGGTTTTGACCATTCCATCTGCAATTGTTAAATTAAAAAAGTAGATTATAACACAGAATTTTAATTCATCGTTTTTTTTTGTCATAGCACATAGATAGAAGAGTAGCTCCTTCACTGTCAAATATTTTAAATAATACCCATGTATATAACATCAGAAGCTAGTAAAATGACAATAAAAATTATATAACAGACCCATTAAGTCAGTTGATCGATTAAAATGATTGATTAACAGATACAAATTTAACTTATCCAAAAATTACCCATATCAATTGCTATTGGATACTTTGAAAAAAGGAAAAGGAAAGAAGACAAAGCATAACATCACATAGTTGATCCTTCAAAGGAAAAAAAGAAAAAGAGAAACCACTTGGGTCTATTAAGATGCAAGCCAACAGTAATCATCAACTAGAATAAGGACCAATATAATTCACTGAAAGCAGAATTTTAAATTAGAAACAGGAAAATTCAAATGTTTATTAAAAAAAATTAAGATCGCAGGGGCTTAAAATGTTGAAAAATAAATCACCCTAAATTTAATAGAAATTTTCATCATATTGAAGAGAGAAACACTAAAGTAGTGATTCAACTGCAAAAGAAACTACATCTAACTGCTTCTGCATAAACCGAATTAGCCAAAACTAAGAATCTTGAACACCAGTGCTTTTTAATGCTCTCTGCACCAATTTCTACTAAAAACATTTCATGATAAACAAAGAAAAAATACAAGATTTTTTTCACGAAAAACATCACCAATGAGTTCTGGTGTCAAGAATTCAGAGAGGATCCAAGGAAAAATAATCACAAATCCTAATAGATTATACATAAAAGGATAAATTACCATCATCACAAACTTGTATACAAGAAAGACAAGATCACAAGCACAATAGAATAAAATATAAAGCATGAAGAACTCAGAGAGCAATCCCAAGAAAGACACAAAACCACAAACCCCAATCAAAGAAATCCAAAGGTTTGGAGAGATCAATGTATAAATACAACACAACACATGTCAAAACAGCTCCAATATCTCCTCCAAGCAGTACACAATTAAAAGAGAAATATATAATAACTACAAATATATGATCTAAACATCAAGGCAAATTCCTAGTTTTAAGAATTCAGAAAGCACCCTCGAGAAGACCCAAAAAATCTGGGATGAACAAGACAGCAATGAAGGGATCGGTGGCTGGTGGTTGGAGAAGGGAAGGCCCAGTAAGATAGCAATGGGTCAGGCAAAAATAAAACATCAAAAAATATACGATCTCTCGATTGCAGGGAGCAATCTCAAGAAGAACAAAAATGATCATGGATTCCAATGCAATAAACCACAAAAGCATGATGGAAATCAAATATTTGCCCCTTGACGAAGAAAAGAAGAACAGACAACTTGGCGAGGACCAGATTGAGGAGTGGAGGTGGGGGAGGAGGACAATGGGGTGAGAAAAGAGAAGAAAACTCCAATTAAACCATCAGTGCAAGCGTCCAATATCAAGAATCCAAAGAGCCATTTCAAGAAAGACACGAAAGATCACAAAGAATAATGTAGTAAACCCTAAACCAGGGATAGATCCACTTCACTGTCCATTTTTATAATTGTCAAATTGACATATATATTAGCTTTCATTTATTCCATGACAATTAAAAACTGTCTACAATACAGCCAGAAAAAGATTCACTGGCCAGGAAGGGTTTCAAAATACATAGTTACTGATTTAAAAGAGAACAAGAGAGTATGCTTATATCCGCTAAATGTCCAAGATCTGCGGCATGAGATCCCGATATATAAATAATCTAAAACCCAGAAAATGAAACATTCTATGTTGCAACCCTGTGAGATATTTTTCATAACTCTGACCAGAGAATAATTTACTCATTGCCGCCGTTTCTTTTCTCTGCAGCATAACATTCAAAATAACCTCAAAATACAACAATACCAATCATAAGTGAAGCCAAAAAAGACATACTGCTATCCGCTCCTTAGCCTCTGCAAGCATTATTAGGTCTCTTATGCTAATCTGTCTTAGGTCAATCTCATCTTCAGGTGTTTGCAGTAAAACTTTGTTCACTAAACATTTAAAAGATAATGAATTATCAACTGAAGTTCATTCAGTTTCTTCCAACAGGTGCAGCATGAGTTTATGATAACATTAGGTATCACTGGAAGCTCATTTACCTTGCAACAAACCTCCAGGTCTTTGGAGTTCTGCTTTGATTTGCTGACAAGACAAACACTTTGAAACATACATTGTAATCTCCATCATGACTTCTCATAAATAAAGACTATGGAGATCTCTTCTCCTTCGCCTTGTGGCATGAGGAAACTTCTTTTTAGGTGAATTCTCTACAACAGAATCAGGTTTTACAAAGGCTTTCTTATGCTTCCGAGTGGGTTTTTCAATGTCATTTGTCTGCCTCTTTGACTTTCTCTTGGTCCTCTTTGGCTTAGGCATATCTTCATCACTTCGGTTGCCATCCATCTGAGAGACATTAAAGTTGTCAATACCACGTTCATCATTGCTTCCAACTTCAATTTGGTCAGTACCGCACTTGGCTATCCTCTTTCTCAGTTCCCTACATGGTTTATGAGCATCATCATCTTTATCATTTTCTGAAGGTTAGAAGTCTCAGTAAAATCTGTTTGCATTAAGGCCAAGTCATCAGGGAACAAATGAGTCAATATCAGTGTCCACTGATTTAACAGAAGCATGATCCTCTAAGAAGTCCTGTCTTTGCAGTTGAAGGATGCTTATCAAAAGAGAGAGTGTCAATGGCACTATTACAAACAGCAGAACCAGTGCTTGTGATGTCTCCTAATCAAAGTCTGGGCATCAGATGAAATTAACCAGCAGATTGAACTCTCTGATTCAACAGAAATGTAGAGAAAAAAAGAGAAAATTCAATATGGACCAGAATGCAAAGGTTATGATTGATGAATGCAAAGGATTGTCCACATGTATATCGATCTTCGCTTGTACAGAAGAAGGGTTCGTTATCTCAGAAAAGGATCCCATGGGAGGAGGACCAGTAACGGAAGCATCAGGAAGCATAAAAGAAACAGATTTAGCAGCTCCCTTTTTTGGTTGTGACTTGTTTCTAGGTTGGAACTTGCCTACTTGTCTGACATCTAGAAAGAAAAATAAGTTCATAAAAATTCATCGCAAAGCATTCGTTAAAAGACAAAAGAGAAAATAATAGAACATGTTGGTAAAAAAGAGACTACAATTGTATGGAAAATAGGACTATGTCCAAGAAAAAATATGAAATTATCCAACATGCATGGGTTGGATTTATATCTAATTCTCATAAACATTGAATATGTTGAAAAACTATCAATTGCATCTCTACTTACCAGTGGTGCTATTGTGCTGAAAAGAAAATTCATCAAGTGATTCAAGGCCATAATGCATTGCCATCTCCTAAAATGAATCCGGTCACACAAAAGATAAGCTACAATGTAAACCTGAAACTATGAATTGCACTTCAAGGAAAATAATTGTACAATACCACTTCTCGTTGATTATCTGGAAAAGCTTGCAAATCACCATCCGATAATGAGACTTGAAGTCCATCATCAGTGGATTTTAAGGCTGCGAATTTTTTTGCTATAAGAAAAGGTTGTTGGGTAGCATTCAATTCGGATGACAAAATATATGATCCAGAGCTAGGAGTTGCAAGATTTGTATCCTCAACAATTGCCTCCATACCTAGAGTAGTAGTATATGGTAATAACATGACATGTTTATGGTACATTGTGTCAAAACCTTCTGTTTACAGCCACCACTCTAATGAAAATGTAGTCAATGGAAAGAGTACATGAAAAGGATTCAGGAAATTAGCAATGTGTAGATTGTAGAGATAGCACACCAAAATTATCATAATGGAGTTCATACTGAGGAACATAAATGCAACCTGAACATACGCTAACTTAATAATGGGAACTCAACTTCAACAGAATAGAAAACATACCTAGTTAAGTTTTTTCTTGATCGAACATTAGAACCACCTCGTTTCAGCATTATAGAATTGATCTTCAGAACTGATCTTCATGACATGAACCTCCCAAGTGATCAAACAATTCATGAACAACTCAGTGTTTTAATGTATAGGTTCTAGATGTTGAGGAATGCATTTCAATAGAAACAGAAATACCTGTTTCTTCTTCTATGACAATCATGCAAGTAGCATGAGGCCCATTCTCCAATGACAAACACAAGGTTTAACTACAGTTTTACGACCATAATCTAGACCTAGCACACAATAAATCTCTAACATAAATAACAACTAGAGTTTGCAGATCAAATGTATTGGATATCCTTCCTGATTTGGACACCATGTAACACCGAAGGTTCTAGTTAAGTTGGATATCGGTATGCTTGTAATAGTGTTCTCAGTTTACCCCGTGGTTATCTGCAAGTTCTGTCCTATTAATCTAATTATACACGCTAAATGTGAACTTAGATATATAACCTTGATGTTGCTCTTGAATCTTCATGTTGTACTCAATTACAAGAACAATAAGAGGCTTAATGAAGAAATTTTTAGGAGAAACTAAAAAGTATACATTATAATGGCATCAGTCATTATTATCCATCACAATTTATATACGAGAGCTAAATGATTCAACAGCACATCATACTCGATGCAAATATCTACTCTGGAAAAGTAAGATAATTATAGTTTAAAATCATGATCCAACTCATATCCTCTTAAAGAAAAAAAAAAGTGGATAGAAAGTCTATGCTAGAAAGTCTACTCTGAAA